TATAGGTACACGGGACGTCCGGAAAATGTGGGAGACCGGAAAGACTAATTAAATAGCTACGGAAATGAGGAAAACAACTTGACAGTGCTGGGAATTGGTGAAACGCATTGAACCCTTACTGGACAGAAAAGGTTAGATCAATGAGCGGTTCTGTTGGGGTTTGATCACAAAAAAAATGCTCCGCACACGCAGACAGTTGCATTGATGTTTTCTGAGGAAGTACGTGAGGCACTTATAGGGTGGTAATCTCGAGGATCCCGAATCCTCAAAGCATCCTTAATAACGAAGAGGGGATCTTCATTACGAACGTCAAAACCGTTAGTCCCATTGTACAGAGCTGAAACTTTGAGATTTACCACAACCATCCGTAAGAAAGTAAAAGTATTTATAAACAGTTTTCTACACAAGACACTGAATGCCCATTGGTTGGATGCCATCAAGGACGGCCTACTATGAGAGAGAACAGACCAGTTACCAGCTCAAGAGGAAATGACGAAGCCACATCGGAAGTGGGTAGGACATACATTACGAAAATCATCAGACTGTATAATGAAGCTAGCACTAACGTGGAATCCTGATCGGAAAAGGAAAAGAAAAAGACCAAAGGACACCTTGCGTCGACAGTCAGAACCACAATTCAAAAGGATGAATGGCAAGTGGAAACAGCTGTAAAGGATTGTCCACTATAGAGTTCGATGTAGACTGCTGATGGGTAAGCTTCAAACCCATCATATAGGTTTGATACTGCTAGTGTCGACAGTAATGTCAGGTAAGTCGCTAATTGACAACTATAATCGTTTTTAAATGTGAAGTGAACTACTGGTAGCTGTAAATAGGGATAATATATTATAATAAGAATCACGCAAATTATTAGTATCCAAATTTTGAAGTTTGATATTACTTGCGGTTAAATGACCAGAGGTTTTACAAACCGACTTGATGTGTCACATTCTACCAATTTTATAGCATTTAGTGTGACGTAGGAAACATGACTGACGTCAATGAAACTTCCCGCAGGACATGCATTTACCAAACCTGTTCTCACTTATATAACCTGCTTTGCAACATAATACCACACATGTTACAGCTTGTGCTTTGAAATCAAAGTTTCTCTAGCTGGTGTATACCGTAATCTTAGCCATTCCAAATTATATTACAGCAAGTAGAGATAGGTCAGCTGATCTTTGACCAAACAAAGGTAGCAGAATACGTGATTGTAGTTGTCCTCTAACAAAGGAATACAGTTTATGCTTTTGGCGATGCTGGATATTCTGGATGGGCATCAAAAACTTTATATTTTAAGGTGTTGATGGGCAGCGTGAGAGGTCACATCAGATTCAATTATGTAAACAATCTGTTTAAATACTCAAAACAACTTGGTAACACATTTTAAATGTCGTAATAAATAGAGCTGATCATGTGTTAATTTATATGGTTATTAAATGATCTCTTACAGATCGCGCATTATTTGAGTTGGAAGCACGAACCACCAGACTTCAACTTAATTGCCATAAAGTAATGCTATCTCTGAGTTCGTTGAATTTCCTTTTTTCGATTTTCAAGTGCTTTTAGATGGAGATTCTTATATTATAAAAAAAGCAGTTATGAGTATCTCCGTGGTTTCAAGTAGTTTGTGACTAAAATCATTTGGTTACAAACACCTTTGAGAAAGTTAGCTAGTGAATCCAGGACATGATTACAAACGAAAAGTAGACTAATCGATTGCCAGTTATCAGGCGACGTGTAATTTCAATATCTATGTTTAGAGCTTGAATTTACAAAACGTTTTCACTCAATATCAACTAACACCACTTCAAAATTGTTTTGCAGACTGCGTTTAAACAAAGCATCCAGAGTAGAGAATTAGCAAAACTGCAATTCACTCATATAGGGGTTTAATGGAAGAATTGAACTCTAGTGAGAAAGTTTCCGCCATAAACAAGCATTACTGAGTGATCAGAATACTTTAACTCTGTAGTTTGATAATGGTGTAAAGTCAGAAGTTTGGTAATAAGTATTTCGAAAGAGGCAATTAAATAAAATAAACTAAAAATGACTATGTAATGTTTGGAGTTTCAAAGAGGTGTCATGAATGTGTTGTAAATGTACTTGAATTCAGGTACAGATAACAGTGAGGCGTCTTACGTGCTTAGTGCAAGGAAGGAACCGCGTCGTTCGAACGAGCTCTTACAACTGTTAATATTCAACAAATTTAAAATGGTCAGCGTAAATGCCTATTGTTTACAAAGTTATATGTCTATCAATAACAGGCACTAAGACTTTGTTTTTTTTTCAGGCCCCTTAAAGGGGTGAAATATTTGTTTCGGCTATCCATTTTGAGGGTTTGTCTTCCAAAACTAAGACTTTAAGTTAATGGAACCAACATTTCATTACCTCCGGTAGGTCAAATGGTTCAAATGGCTGTGAACGGAAATGAAAAAGCTTTCGCTTAACGGGCTTACGTGTCTATTAGAAGTGGGTCACCAATACCTCCAGGTAAGAAACTAGGTGTATTAGCGATATGAGAAGAAAAAGAAATTGGTAAGCCATAATATAATACGATCCTTAGTCCTTAAGAATAAGTCAGGTTTTCTCTTAAGGGACTCCTAGGAAGTCGCTTGGACTAGCTCAGCTGACAGCGAGTTCCAGAATTTGACAACTCTGAAAAAATAGAAGTTGTACCTACGGTCCGTTCTCCTGTGTAGTATCTCTAGTTTCTGGGTGTTACCCCTTAGGTTTGTGTTTGAGCTAAACCTAAGTAGGTGTTTAATGGGGTGTTCAGAATTAATAAGGATACTGTAAGCCATCAGAAGGTCACCTCTAAGATGCTTGTACCCTGATGGATAAAGGTTTTAGTGATTCGAGGCTCTCTTCATAAGACTTTAATTCGAGTCTCCGAACTAATTTCGTGACTGAAACCGTGCTGTTGAGGTGAAAATAAGTTTAAGGACATTAAATAGTCGTCTATATTATATTATGTCATGAACTCCATAATTTTTGAGGGTACAGGGAAAAGTGCTACCGGTCGGTAGCTTGAAGGTTCGCTGCGTCAAACTCCTTTAAAAATTAGTGTTGTGAGCCAGCTTACAGTTTTCTAGTAGCGTGCCCAGGCAGTAAGAAATCCACATCGATTTGAGGGTGAACCTTTTAGTCCACCTGTTTTGGATTGCTCCGTAAAGCTAACACATCCAACCGTTTGAAATTCCAGTGCATGTTGTCGGTGGGATTTCTTAGCTCAGTTTTGCTGATAAAACCGAAGGCTATGATGTGATCGCTTCTTCCCAGGGGAACCAGGATTGAGAAGTTGTTAATTAGGAAATCTTTATTTGTAAATACTCAGTCTAAGCGCGACGGTGTTTGACTGTTTCTCCAACGAGTTGCCTACTTCACATTTTCGAATAATCCCAGATCTCCAATGAGGTTGAAGAACCGAACTTCAGTAGAGTTTTCAACTCTAATGTACGTGTGTTTCGCGAAATTGATTTTAGGAAGATTGAAGTCCCTTAGAATCAGGATATGTGTTGTAATGGATGAACTGCAAGGTTTTGATAAGCAACATTTATATCGATCGATTCAGTGACACGTAAACACGTACGAACGACCTAGAGTCCTGATTGGCCCTGCCTCCTGTCTATCCCAGCCAGTTTAGTCCAGAACGAAAGTCACAGCCTCTGAGATATGAATCATCATATTTCAAACACACCCTGTTTATATACTAACCAAGCAGACCACATCGTACCATAAAAATAGAAAACAACATTTACACAATATTAAACAAGTGAAGTAAATATCGACAAATAGGGAATGTACATTTAGCGTCCAAGGACAACATTAGACTTAACATGATAACTATTAGTATATTTTTCTGCACATCCTAACAATATGAGTGAATCCGAGATGGGTAGAGCGGGATAATCCTCCAAGCATACGATTGTCGTACTCGATATCAACGATGAGCTTTCCGCAGGTGACTCGAACTAGATACCTTGAGGTGGAAGACAATCTTACTGAACAAAATAAGGATTCATCAAGATTGATAAACTCTTGGTTACGCACTTGATGTACATCCAGGCAGGATCGCAAGTATAAGGCTACTCCACCCCCGATTCCTGTTTTTCTGTCACTGCAAAACAAAGACGTCCCGAGTATTGCTAGCTCCTAATCCGTAAACTGAGATGTCATAGTTTCAAAAATTCCTATCACATAAGCACTGCTGAGTTCACGTAGAGTTCGTGTATAAACAGTTTTTGCCTTCAAGTTGAAACGCGTGAGCCTCCCCGTTCTGTTTGTTTGTATGAGCCTTATGTGAATGGGAAGGTAGCCCACCCATACAAGGTTTTCCGAGTTAGTAGTTCCTGTCCTTTCCACGTTTTTTTATCATCAAGACAATCCACAAGTGAAATGGTCGGCTCCAACTTGCCTATGTGTTTGAACCTGATGTCGTGTGGTCTATCCGGATGCATATGGATTACAGTTGTCAACCGACGTCTGTTAGCAAGAAATGCCTCCAGACTTACAGCCGCCATATAGGAGGATATGAAGGTTATCCTCATCAGCCGGGGTCTAGAATCTCCATGCTTCCTGACTAGTCTCATCACTTGTTGAGTCAGTATGTTTTTGAGCTTCAAGGATTGCTTGATGACTTTTCATTTCTTAAAATCAGAGTTTTTACTGTCAGTGTCCGTGTTTAACGGTACACCTTGCACTATGATATTTCTTTAGCTACACAATGATCAATCCAAAAGAATCTAAATCGGAAAGAAAAATGACTAGTAGATTACGGTTTTGAAAAATGATTATGTAGAGAGGCCAACTAGTATCACTGAAGATATTTGACAGAAAAATTAGTTTCTGATATTGTTTGGGAGGACTAAAAGCTTCTCTCTTACGCAATTAAATATACTTCAACAACATGATTCAGTTATTTTTGAAAAAAAACATAAACAGCCGGAATACCCTATATAAATCATCATCTTAGAAGAAACAATCGTTCAATAGACGCTGTCTTTGTTTATCGAAACCAAATATTGGGGCATCAAGCTGACTTTTTGAGTTCGGCCATATTTGTAGGCGTATAGTTGTTCTGATTCAAAGATGACAGAACGAGAGGCTCTTGTATATCGTGCTAAATTAGCTGAGCAGTTGGAAAGATATGATGGTAAGTAGTTGGGATAATGTTTTTAAACTTTTATTTTTGGTGTGGTTATTCACTGAGTTTTATTCGTTTGCTAGAGATGGTTGATGCAATGAAGGAAGTTGTAGAGATGGCAGAGGAGTTGACAGTTGAGGAACGTAATCTACTTTCAGTTGCATACAAAAATGTCATTGGGTCTCGGCGATCATCATGGCGTGTGTTTAGCGCTGTTGAACAGACAGAAGGGAATCGAGGTAATGCTGAAAAGCAAGCTTGTGCCAAGAAATTTCGTGAAGTTTTGGAATCTGAACTCGATCGTGTTTCTAAGGATATATTGGAACTCATTGACAAGTACTTAATCAAAAGCGCAACAAAGTCAGACTCTAAGGTCTTTTATCTTAAAATGTAAATCGCGTGTGTTCGTGATGTTTTGTTTTTTCAGGAAAGGCGATTATTTCCGTTACATGGCGGAATTCTCAGTCGACCCACAACGTCAAAAAGCTGCAGAAGAAAGTAACAAGGCCTACAAAGAAGCTTCTGAAATTGCCGCAACTCAGTTGTTCCCGACCCATCCAATCAGGTTGGGCTTAGCTCTCAATTACTCAGTTTATTTCTACGAAATTATGAACGATCCAGACGAAGCATGTCGTCTTGCACAAACAGCATTTGATGATGCAATCTCTAGGCTAGAACATTTGTCAGAAGAAAGCTACAAAGATTCCACCTTGATAATGCAACTATTGCGAGATAATTTAACTCTTTGGACATCAGATCCTGAAAGAGATGGTAAGTTAGTTTTCGTTTCTCACTAGTATGCTTTGTAGACAACGTGAAGAAAGATACGGAAGAGAAAGCCTAAGAAGTAGACTTAAAGATTGCTGGTGTTTGCTTACTTGGCCAGAGTTGCTTTTAGGGATAATTTATTGAGTCATGAAAGTGCACACCAGTAGTGCAGTTTCTCGTTTTACCACTTTAATCCTTTTTTTTTCTTCTTCAAATTATTGCCAAGTTCTCTTAATATGCTGGTTCTCATACTGTCATGGTTATATTCATTTAGGTAGTCATTGTTTATCATCTTTAACTATTATATACTCTAAAACTTGACGTTTTACTAATGTCTGTCCTTGATTTGACAGATACTTCATGTTGTTTGAAGCTATTCTTCATACTGAGAATCTGAGCATGTAATACTTTGTTCGAGTTAACATGTAATGCTTTGATCTAGAACCTCATAAAGGAGGTTTTGCGCATATTTTATTTCAGTTTGAAAAAAAATATTATGAAATCATTTTGCTTTGTATTCCTTGAAAACTGAGTTAACCACTTGGTATATGGATCTGTCAAATATAATCAGTTGTTCATACTTTTGTTGGAAAATTTATGCAGAACGCTTATGGCCGAGAAACACGATTCTGTTCAATATTACCTACAGAATCTTGTATGTTCGCCGAGTGTAGTCGATTACTTCATAACTTTGATGTAAGAACATGAAATAAAAGACATTTTAGACGTGCTAAGGTCTAAAACTCACTTGTAATTAAATTTTATAAGCCCATTTAGCCGAATAGGAATATACATATACTTGGTTATTGCTGAGGGTAATTTCCAGAAATATAAGTATACTCTTGTTCGAAATGTAGGTTAACTATCACCTCCCTTGCTTATTGGTAACGGTTCATCAGTGAATATACTAATGAAACTTGCAGTGCATTGAACGATGACCTAAGCTATGTCAGTCAGTCAGTCAGCAACGACGTAGCTATGATCCTACACTTAGTACATTTTCTGTATTGTAGCAGTACGTGGTGGGTAACATATGCTCTGTTTGACGTAAGGATTCTTTATTAGGACTCGTTATGACAATAAACGTGGTACATTTATTTAGGTATGTTAGTGTGTAACAATTATTAAAGCTTGTAATTAATGGTTCGATCATACGACAGACATTGCAATTCAGTATTAGTTGCTACGTACTCTAAATAGATTATAGATGACAAGTCTTGATACAAACTATCTTGTAAGTGATAAACCAATCCGTAAATAAATGCAGTATTGATTATGTGAGTGATTTCCTGGTATCACTCGTGCCTTGTCACAATTTGTTACAAAAGTGCATATTGTTTCAAAATACAACAGGCATGAGTAGTTCAATCAACAGGCCAAATACTAAAACTACAATCTGATAATTGGACATGAAAACTGATCCTTAAGATTTCTAAACCTCTTCCAGACTTGCCAGCTAGCTTATTCTTTAGGGAAACTGAATATAGCCTAGCTAGACAACGTTTCGTGGATCTTCGTAGCATTCTTTGTTTGGGGTGGGTTTTCCTTTTTAAAAATTCATACAAAATATTGTGTCGTGATTAACATTCTCGTTTCAATTTCAGAGATTCCCCACCGCGTTGTAGTGGTGGTTAGAAAGCTATGTTGTGAGATTTTACTGAACCAGTACATCCCCGTACTATTCCATTTAGTGGGACTCAACTATTTTTCATGAAATACGCTGGTGTTAGTGCCAATACTGACAAAAAAGTTAGCTAACCAGTCAATATGATCTAATTATACACTAACTGATAGAAAACTAGTATATAATTGTCTCGTTCCATACTGGTATCGTTAGTAGACCGTGTTGAAGTAGTATTGTGCACTGGTTAGTTGATTCTATGACAACACTAGTAATGTCACGATAATAGACAATGTGATTGTGTTGGTTACTGGGGTGATTGGTTCATAAAGATCGTAGTTAATAACTGTGTACGATCAGCGACATAATGATGGTTATTCAGACAAAATATACTCATCGCTAGTAATAATGTTCAAAGCGGTGTAGAATATGGTTTCGTCCGTGTGATCATGTCACCCGATTTTCCCTGACGTTGCGAATGGGCGATTTTTTGATGAAGATATGTTAATAAGTTGACGGGTATATAGACCTGGCAAACGTCTACGTACCCTGGGATGGATGCGCAAGGAGTCGTCATGAAACTGTAAATCTCATCAGGCTCGTTAGTTCTCTATATTAATTACTGAGCTTCTTCACAAAGCAAGAACAGAGCTGTATTGATTCTTTCCCTAGGATACTTATTCTCTACTTAAGGAAGTCAATCATACCCTCGAAATATGTGAGAACGAACTAAGAGTACAAATGCTAGCCTTAATACTTGTCCAGTTGTTCACAAGAGAATGTTGTTAATAACGCTGTCTTAGCATACAGAGGTAGTTTAACGAATAACAGCTGTTCCTTAATCAAATGGTTTCGTGAAAGCACCATTCTGCTTAAAGTTTCTGAAAAAACGTATGAGATTCAAACTTGCTGATTAAGAACTCCAACGTAAAACAAATTGACTTACTAAACGGTAGTTATTTAATATAGCAAATAAAATGTAAGAAGCTTGAAACGAGGAGAAAACAGTTGACTATCCTCCTTGTTTCTGGAATCACGACCATTATTGATTCATGCATTTTTAAAAATATCAGACTGACCTTAACTCTCCGTGTTCCTGAGTGTCCTTACCCTTTATTCAATAGTCTCATTACATAAGCACAATTTAAAAGGCAACAGTCTATCGTTGCAATCCTATGTTATGTATCAAAATCTTCCTCACATGGTATTTAACTAGGTCATTTTATGCAGTCCTTCCAACCTTATCTAGGTCATTGTGACTTTCACTGCATTATACTGCCACGTGTTTGTATTTGTAAGTGGTGTATTTTGTTCCAGTGTCTTCATTCATATGATGTAGACAAGCTGATATTTCATTCGTAATTATGTTTAACAAAGAAAATTTATCCATACAATCACCATTTTGAATACAATAAATATTGAATTACTGTTGTCAAGATTGCCTCTGTTAACGAGTGTTCAGTAGCCAGGACTTATTCACTATACAATATTAGGAGATAGTCACTAAAATGTTATGGTATTTGATGATCTTATACAACTGGACGACTGGTAAGTAAGCTAGTCGCGTTCAGTGATGAATTGCTGGTCCTGAATATTGATTTTAACAAATAGATATTGGTACAAGTAGGCATCAAATACATATGCGCCACACAGATCTCATTTGACATGTGTAAGGGCTGTGACACTGCCCGGGTGCCCAAACCGAAACAGGTGGTTTTCTTAAGGAGCCACACCCGGAGCTTTCTACTGGAAGGTCTGATCCACAAGGCAGTGAAGCGTCGGAAGGAGATGCAGTCCCATGGTATCCGGTGACCAACGATTGGTTCATACGCCACTTGTTGCTTCAAAATCCTGGAGTCCATGTGCACCATTGGTTTGGAGTCAGGGTTTTCCAACTCTCATAGGTGGACTGTCCATGTCCACAAACCCGGTTAAAGCGCCGGACATTCGCTTTTCGTCCTCTGAATTTCGTAAGCAACAATAACGCCACGAGAAGACAGTGGGTAGGACTTCCCTGGTAGAGGCTATATAAGCGTGGCCATGTGAGAGTGGACTGTTACCACTCTCGGACGTACCAGGGCATTTGGTTGATGAATATTTTCAAGTATTACGAAATCCTAAAAAGCACACCACGTTGGTGTTAGTTTAAATACTTCCTACATATTGGCAACAAATGTAGCTAATGATTAAAATTGTAAGCTGGTTTGTAAATAGGCTGTTTTATCGTTGATCCCTAGGCTTACATTGATTAGGGCATCTTTCCTCATTTTAGCTCTATGTAATAACTAGAGAAGTCTAAGTGTTGTAAGATCTATGACCACTATTCTTAGCAGTTTTAGCTTACTTGTGATATTTAATCATTTGAGAAGCTTGAATTTAATTTCATCAGTCCATATATATATTATGAAGAAATAACGAGTTTTAGTAAATAATTAAAAATATAGAATTATGATCGAGTGTGATGCGGGTGTGTAGTTTATGCATGTTACATTAGTGTTATATTTCAGGTTATATTTTCCTTACATGGTATTTGGCTATCGATTGTACATTATCGCTGACTAACAATTCAAGCTCAGCACATTTAGTCACATGTTCAAAATGCAACTTGCTTGAATTAGGCCTGAGGAGCTGGGTGGTATCAGCGTTTCTTAGCATACACAGGAAAGGTGACTTCGAATTGGATACATGAATGAACTTGTAATGATTTAATAAGATGCATCTAATTATTAAACAATAGTTTTGTCTATATCATTATATACTTTTATCTTGGAGTACGCAGCCTATGGAAATTTAAATGGGGTTTATTTTTAAGAAACACATCTTATTTCCAATAAAAAACTACTATACAACATTCTAATGTTATCTTCGTGTTCACAAAAAAGTCGATAAGGTATATATAACCGGCATGATTTTCCTCCGTCTTTATGGTAGACATTTAGCATGTTAAATCGTATAAAGAAAAAGCAATTACAATACTTTTGTTTTAATATTCTACCTGTGTCCTTTGTTTATAACCTAGCGAAGGAAATCATAGATCATAGCATTGACACACGCATATAAACTGCCATCCAGATTTATATTGTAGTCTTATTTACTATCTTATCCTCTTTTCATAACATACGTTTTCTTACCAAGTCGGATGTTTGAGTTCATTCATAGAATTATTTACTTATTATACGATCCTGTTGAAACAAAAAAGAAACTTCCCTACAATAGATTAGATAGTTGGAATTGCATACTAACAAGGGATATTTGCTCCATGGAATTTTACAGTGTCGTAATTTATTGCTGTTACTGACATATAACAGGATAGATCTGATCATGATTTTACACTAGATTGTTGCGGTATATGTGTCTGAAATCCAATATCTCTATTACTAATCATTTTTATTAAGAAAATGCACTGAACAAAAAACTTCTTCTTTAAACTTAAAATCATTAGAAATAAAAACCTTACAGTAGAACATATCAACCAACTAACTACTGCCGGTACAACATACAGTGTGTGCAGTGAGCATTTTATTAAAATAATAAATTTAAAGTTAAATGATAAAAATACTACAGAAATAAAATATTGTACATATTGGTTGAAATAAAAAGTTAAGTAGTTAGCCTGTTCAGTGTATAAAAGAGAATGCGTACTTAATAAACTCAACCACCGGTAAATAGATAGCAAATGTTATAGATAATTGACATAAAAGAACAGTCATCAATTCATTCGATAGAATATATGTGACAAGATTAGTTGGTAGTATTAAATAACAAATTGGGAAGAAGATGATAAGCAAAAATAATTAAAAAGAAAGAAAGGATTATGTTAAATAATCATTGATCACATTACTGTAAAGAAAAATTCACATCAATAAACATGGAATAAATAATAATTAAATAGAATATTTTACTACTAATAATAAAAATGTACACAAAAACAATGTCGGTATATACAATTGATGGTTAAAATATCAGCGAACATTAAGTGTACTGATTGTAACCACATTCACTCTCCTTCATTTTTCCTCTTGTTAAGTTTTTAAACGTATACTTTGGCCAATGCATCAGATCCAGCACTAGCCATAAAATGTTGTGTTGGATGAAATGCAACTGCATTGATAGCTTCACCGAATTTTTTCCTATGACCTGTAATTTCTTGAATGCACAATTTTGTATTGATATCCCATATTCGTATGGAACAGTCATGACCTTGAAAAATGTAATGGAATATTGTAATATATTCTGGTTTATATATTTAAGAAAAATATGGTAAGATTAACTGAAGAGCGTTTTCTTTTATTAACGAAATCAAATTTGTGTGTCACTAATCATATTTCTAATAAAATCTAGATATGTGATCTTGTATAACTAAAATCTAAATTTTAATGAAACTAAAATTAACTGTAATTTAAAGCTAACAACTATTCAATCAGTTCAACATTGAAACCAGTATCAACATATGAAAAGTTTAACTTGATTGTTTGTTTCTTTCTCTTTACCAACATGTTTATGTAAAAACACTGTCAGAAACAAGCCAGTATTGGACTGTAATTAGACATAGAAAGAAGTGTACCACATTAACAAATACCATAACATATAGGTGATATGCTGAAAACAGTCGTAGAGATATTCCAGTGGAAAGAAAACATTAACATTCAAAATGAACAAGAACAGATTTTGAAAACGATGTCATCCTATGAACCTCTGTTCAAATCGGAAAATTAGATCAATCAATATTTTTGACATTATCGAATGAAATAAAGTGAATTTGCAACTAGATTTTGAGACGTTTTATCTAGTTGAATACAAGATACGTATAAGGTTCATAAACACCAAACCGCCAGTTCAAAACTCGTTTCATCTATTTTAGTCTGGACAGACAAATATACTTGAAAATTGAGTTACATATTGCATATATTTATACTTATTTGTACAAATGTCCTGATTTGATCTTAAAATCAAGTAAAAACAAACCCTTAGAACAGAATTTTTTATGTTTTAAAACATTAATTTGACAAAATCGACGAAGCAAATGAAGTTCATCTATCGTAGAGTGAAACAAAAAAAGATATTTGATGGGAGACGATTTTACAGTCAACGTAAACAAGAGACAATTTTACAATGTGATCCTGAGAATAACATATGAATTGACAAGATGTGTGTCAACTATCATAAAATAAAGTGACGAAAATTTATAAATAATAATGAAAATGAATTTCATTGACAATGTTGTGAACATATTGTGTCAATGAAATAAGAAATTAAATGGATATAATAGGAAGCTTTTATTACAAAAGATCAATTCTGCTTACATTCATTTGATCAGTTAATTAAATAAATATAATAGTTAATTACGAAGTTAGCGTTCAAGTTATCAATGAAGTCAATCAAATAGAAACATAATACAACACTACTAATCATCATTTGACATTTGTTTATAGTTGTAAATCGTATCATATCACATTAAAATCATCATTATTATTATTATAATGTTGAATGTTAGACTGATTAATAAAATAATTAGTGTTAAGAGGAGATATTAAGATCAGTTCAGTTTATTCATATAAGAATTGATAGGATCGATGCTCAACAGTTGTTAATGGACACAATTATTATCTTAAATTGAAGTGAAAATTTACTTCACAAATTTCTGTCTAGATAGTAGTATCAATATAATATTACTTAGTGTGATATATAAATTATCTATAGTTGGCAATTGAACGAACCTGTATATTGAAGCTTCAAAAAATCTATTTAAAGTATGAGATAGCATTATTTTTCACAAAAACAGATAAACAAAAATGATGAGATTATTCTTACTTGCTGAGAGTAATAATGTTCCTTTCGAATTCAAACTGAGTGTTGTTACTGAATCCAAATGAGCAGTCAATGAATGAACACATTTGCCACTTAACGAATCCCAAAATCGAATTTGACGATCATCATGGGCACTGATGATTAATGAGAGATGAGGATGAGAAATGACAGAATTTACAGAGTATACATTTGCGTCCTGAGAAGTATCACTGACATCTGAGATAATAAATAAATGAATACATTGTCTACATAATAAATAGTTAAATAGTTGCAATACAGTTAGCAATAAAGTATTGCAGCGTACATAGTTGATCAATTGGTCAGCTTACCTGAAAGCCGTTAAACAGTTACCATTCAAAAGAATTATATCGATCAAGTTAAATTTATACAGTCTAAATAATGAATTCATCAAATTAGACGCATAAGTCCGACTAGTTATATCCATAGATGATAATGAACTATGAAGACGCTGTCAATTTCAAAGATTTGAGAAGAATATTCTGACAGCATTATAAAAACATTTTCTGTAGTCCCATCGCCCAAAGTCTCCGATGCTGTTATCGAACCGTACAATGCTACACTGTCTGTACATCAACTTGTTGAGAACACTGATGAAACTATCTGCATCGACAACGAAGCACTGTATGACATATGTTTCAGAACACTCAAATTTACCAACCCCACTTATGGAGATATAAATCACTTGGTCAGTGCAACCATGTCTGGAGTGACCACCTGTCTCAGATTCCCTGAACAACTGAATGCTGATCTACGGAAACTGGCAGTGAATATGGTCCCGTTCCCACGACTGCATTTCTTCATGCCAGGATTTGCTCCACTAACAAGTCGTGGCAGTCAACAGTATCGCTCATTAACTGTGTCTGGACTGACGCAGCAAATGTTTGATGCGAAGAATACGATGGCTGCGTGTGATCCTTGTCATGGTTGTTCTTTGACAGTGGCGACGGGATTTTGAAAAGATGAAAGCAATAATAACTTGGCGACGGAAATTTTGGAAAAGTGGAAACCACAACAATCGCCGACGTATTCAATTTACAAGTTTCAGTTACCAACATAACTGTCTGGTTCCAGTTATAACTCGATTGTCAGTGTAACGTACCCCAAATCCTGTCTCCTCAGTTATAAACATACTTCTGCTTTTATTTATCAAGTCGCTGTTGCAACAATCGATGCGGTTACTGGTGTATGAACATGACAATTTCAGTTGCAGAAGTAAAATCAATGTTTCAGTTTAATGAAGATGTGTTCATTAAATCTCAATTAAAGATCATAGGTGCATTGAAGGAACACATGCTCGAACAATCAAATCCCGAATCGCACCCAAAGATTTAACGAGGCAATTGATGCATCTCCTGATGTAATAAGGAACAGTATTTTTGATTGAGGGAGAGGTCGCTGAAGCTGAAAAACCCACTGCAACACGACCACGTGGTTGGCCAAGATCCAAGCAAGTACGATAAAGTAGAACAATCTTTTCAAATAGGCTCTCCACAGAAAACGTATCAATTAAAAAAGAAGGGAAGTTGATATGATGAGAAGAAAAGTCAAATTTCGATTGATTTACTCATTATGAGTTTTGTTCAATATTACTTCTGTTTTGATTCATTGTGATGATTATTCACTTTAGTATTCAGTTTCATTTTCTCGTATGATATTTGATTCTGTATAATATACAATATTCTTGTATTCAGTTGCCATAAACTATGCTCAGTCTGTGATTTCATCTCAATTATTAATCAATGTATATGTACAATCAATGCATAAATGAGTGTATTTTCGACTAGGGTCGTCGTTGTCGTGTTTTGGGGTTAATAAATCTCCACTTATACCAGTATTTGTGTTCTTACTTTCGCATCGTGGTAATTGCAGAGGTCCTTTGTTTCGAGTAAAAGTGATAAGCGTTTCTGACACAACAATTAGCGACGACCAAATATAACGAAGAAGCATTCAAACAACAAGACATATCAACAACAATTAGTAATCTCAATTGATTTTTACATTATCTTACATTCATATCATGAATGTACAAACGTACTGATCATTTTATACTGTGTAATTACAAACGGTCAACAGGTGTTAGTGATAAACAACACAAATCACAATCGAATAAGTAGTGAAGAATACACTAATGTCAGGGAAAGAACACTAATGCTACAAGGTGCATGAGCAAAATGATTGAAAAATAAAGATAGTTTTCAAGCAAATTACAATTGCTAGTTGACAATTTAAGCTGAAAAATACTAATTATTATTATTACTATTAATAATATAAACATCGTACCAAATGAACAAGCTAGTGACTATCTGGATTCAGTAGCTTAGTAGATAACGCGTTCTCATTTAAACGAAAGATCCTAGGTTTATGTCTTAATGTGATTAACAACACCGAGATTTAAGTACATTTCGTAATTAAATCTTAAATAAGACGAAATGCACATCTTGGATCCTACTGTTAGCCACAGTTCATGTATACTAAAAACACAGCTCATTTGTACATTTACTTCAATATATGGTTTTGATGATTACATTAACCAGATTTTTATCACTTAACCTCTACCCATTGGAGTATAGACGTCTTTAAGGTGACCTTCTAATGGCTTACAGTATCCTTAACACTTCTAGACATTCTCTTAAACACCTACTAAAGTTTAGTCCCAACACTAACCTAAAGGGTAACACCCAGAAACTGGAGACACAACATAGCAGAACGGACTGTAGACACAACTTCTACTCCTTAGGAGTTGTCAAGTGCTGGAATTCGCTGCCCGCCGATCTAGACCAAGCGACTTCCCTGGAGTCCTTTAAGAGGCAACTGGATATACTCTTAAAGATAGAATCATACTATGATTTACCAATTTCTTTTCCCTCTTTTATTGTTAATATACCTAGGTTCCTGCCTGGAGGTTTTGGTGATCCCCTGCTACTAGACACGGAAGGCTGTTGAGCGAAAGCGCAACAAAGTCACACTCTAAGGTCTTTTATCTTAAAATGTAAATCGCGTGTGTTCGTGATGTTTTGTTTTTTCAGGAAAGGCGATTATTTCCGTTACATGGCGGAATTCTCAGTCGACCCACAACGTCAAAAAGCTGCAGAAGAAAGTAACAAGGCCTACAAAGAAGCTTCTGAAATTGCCGCAACTCAGTTGTTCCCGACCCATCCAATCAGGTTGGGCTTAGCTCTCAATTACTCAGTTTATTTCTACGAAATTATGAACGATCCAGACGAAGCATGTCGTCTCGCACAAACAGCATTTGATGATGCAATCTCTAGGCTAGAACATTTGTCAGAAGAAAGCTACAAAGATTCCACCTTGATAATGCAACTATTGCGAGATAATTTAACTCTTTGGACGTCAGATCCTGAAAGAAATGGTAAGTTAGTTTTGATTCCTCACTAGTATGCTTTGTAGACAACGTGAAGAAAGATACGGAAGAGAAAGCCTAAGAAGTAGACTTAAAGATTGCTGGTGTTTGCTTACTTGGCCAGAGTTGCTTTTAGGGATAATTTATTGAGTCATGAAAGTGCACACCAGTAGTGCAGTTTCTCGTTTTACCACTTTAATCCTTTTTTTTTCTTCTTCAAATTATTGCCAAGTTCTCTTAATATGCTGGTTCTCATACTGTCATGGTTATATTCATTTAGGTAGTCATTGTTTATCATCTTTAACTATTATATACTCTAAAACTTGACGTTTTACTAATGTCTGTCCTTGATTTGACAGATACTTCATGTTGTTTGAAGCTATTCTTCATACTGAGAATCTGAGCATGTAATACTTTGTTCGAGTTAACATGTAATGCTTTGATCTAGAACCTCATAAAGGAGGTTTTGCGCATATTTTATTTCAGTTTGAAAAAAAAATTATGAAATCATTTTGCTTTGTATTCCTTCAAAACTGAGTTAACCACTTGGTATATGGATCTGTCAAATATAATCAATTGTTCATACTTTTGTTGGAAAATTTATGCAGAGCGCTTATGGCCGAGAAACACGATTCTGTTCAATATTACCTACAGAATCTTGTATGTTCGCCGAGTGTAGTCGATTACTTCATAACTTTGATGTAAGAACATGAAATAAAAGACATTTTAGACGTGCTAAGGTCTAAAACTCACTTGTAATTAAATTTTATAAGCCGATTTAGCCGAATAGGAATATACATATACTTGGTTATTGCTGAGGGTAATTTCCAGAAATATAAGTATACTGTTGTTGATTAGTATTTCTCTGAGAATATCTTGATGCAGTTACAAGAATTAGATTTCACTATTTAAAACTCGAGGCTGTGTACTTTCCACGTATCATATTCAAGCCGGTTGTTTGTGTCCACGTGTTAAATTTATTGGTAAGGACAAAGTGATGTCACATCTACGGTATGCGACTGATCGATAATTACATCCACTGGTTCAACAGACTTTCAAAATGAATGTTACTACGTTGTCTTATGTAAGTTAGTGGGACTAAGGAAATTTAGCATCGCATTAAGTTCGGTTTCTGTAACGATACACAACCCTTAGACTAATTACTAGACATCTTAGGCTTGTAACGGTAGGCACATCAAAGTAATGTGATTGAGACCGCGCTGACTTGCAAGTCGTTTGCTTGCTAGATCCACTTGTATACAATTTTTGAGAAACGGTCATCTGTTGTTTTATTTTCTAAACTCAGTTGCGATTAAGATGGCTTACTTCATTTGTCTCAGACTTATGTGCATTGTTTCCGAAAACGCTTCAGCAACTACAATTTAACTCCGGATTTCTAGGTTTGGTTTGTCCCGTTTATCGTATTTGTTAGTCCTTGACGGTTGTTATGGTATGTTAACGATTCTGCATAGCGACACCTGGCATATGTTAGCTAGCATTTCTTCGTCTTACAACCATGCCACATACTGTAGTATCTCCTTGGTAATTTGTGCGTACATTTCACTCGTCAAAATGGACTTGATTTCATTTTTTTGGTTGCTCTCAATCGCGTTATTAAACAACCCATAGTGGGACAGCATAATTAATACTACTTAGCTTTTATGGCAACTAATACAGTACTATTGTACACCTAAACAAGCCATTTCCGTAACAAATGTATTGCTTTCTCGATCATCAATGTCAAGAATCCTAGACATACTAATGAATACGACTTAACATGTATAATCAATTAGAACTGCTGTCACAACAAGGTAGAATTGAGTTATTCGAGAAGACAGATTTCGAACATTAGATACAACTATGCTCAAGATTCTAGTTGGTCACTGTTCTTGTGGGATGTTGGGGAAGCCGATCGATCGGAAATCACGTTTGTGAAGCATTAAGCACTTTTGTAAAATTCCACTTTCTCAGATATTATGGCACGGTAAGGGGTTTTAATTACGGATGATAAACTTTGTTTGGGTTCAACCCGTGCTTACACACCAAACTTTTCCCATGAAAAC